GAGCAACACCAGAAGAAAACTACATCTTACTGTGATAAGTGCATGTCACAGCCTAGTAGTTAGACTGACCCCACCTGGTTCATCACAGCCGGCAAAGCCTTCACCACAGACGAATCGTAGGTGCACAGGCCAATCCCCATCATCTTTTGGCAGCTGCCTGTGCCTAAGCTTCCACTCAAACCTCGCTTGTGGCCCAAAACTACCTCAAAAGATCAACCAGTGGCTTATGCAGGCATGGCGCCACAATCCGAGTCAGCCTGGCAGATCAGGCCGCAGTACTTGTCGCCAGTCGTGGTTCGGAGAGCACACTGCGGATTTGCGGTGTCGCCCTTGGGCACATCGCTTGGGCAGGTGCCCTGGCTGTCGCACTTCGGACTGCAGAAGTCGCCCGACAGCCCGCTCACGCGAACGGCGACCTCGTCCGACTCGCAGCCAGTGGATGGGTTGCCATAGTGGGTCGGGTTGGTTGCCAAAGCAACGCTGCCTGAGATCTCCAGGTGAGAACGGGAGCATCTGATTTGCTTTGTTGCCAAAAAAGGCCAGGCGACAAAGCGCTGCGATGAGTTCCGCCTTCGCCTGTCAACTGATCTCGGTGTCAAGTTTGCAAACTCGCGCGCTACATCGGATGCACGCACACAGTGAGTTCAGCAGGACTTGCAACAGCTTTGCCGTGCAGACTAGCTCCGGAATTGGAAGTGTCTGAGCTACTTGCCCACATCGTCGGCAATATCGAAGATGCCGAGGGTACTTGTGACCACGTACTAAGCCAAAATTCTGCAGCACGCATTTCAGAGGGATGAGTCGGTATGAGGGTAGTCTTTGCAGATGAAGTCAGGTATGCCTGTTGTGAAGCGCCCTCGGGCATCGTATACTCGCAGAATGTGCGTCTCGATCCCTACCTTCTGTTTTTGATCTTGTGCAGATTCGAGCGTCTGCTGCCAAAACTTGAGGTGACTGTCGACTTCCAAGGGACCCTGGTCCGGGGCTCGCAGCGCTTCGGTTCCGCTTTGGTTCGAGTGCTAAGCTGCCGAGGCAGCGGCCGCTGCCCTTGCCGGCAAACACCTGCTGCTTGTACGCATGTCCTCTCCTTGTCGGCCCTGCCGGCACACTCGCCCGGCCCAAGCCTTGGCCGTGACCATCTCATCGGCTCGGAGGTCGCGAAGGTTGCTTTATGGCAGAGCTGCCCCGGAGCAGCGAGAGCTCGCAAGTTCCCCAGCTGCAAGTTCTTGCGCCCAACCGACGAGCTGTCTGGAGTATGAACGGCGCATTCTTGGTGTCCGCTACGACAGACGATGCCTCCATCTGTCTTGAAGCTCGCGGCCGAGCTGAACTGCAGCAGCATCGAACATGGAGAAGTTGCGGAGCTCAACCATTTGCTCCTGGAGTAGCAAATATTTCATCATGTGGCATTTGCTATCCTGCCGTCCCTCTGTTGTTGCCGCCATGCCGGTGCGGTGCAAGGAAGTTGTGCAACAAATCTACGAAAGCCCTCGTGGCCAGGTGTACACAAGCCAATGTCGCATGCGCAGTCCCTACATATGAGAAGGGGTCAAAGATTTGCAAAAAGCCACAGTCCTCTGAACGATAGAGCACTTTGCGACCGCCCAGAGCTTGCACATAGTGATTGGCACGCCACTTCTCTGCATCCAGCTGCCTGGCCTTGTGCATCATCGGCCCAGCAAACTCTCGCGACTGCCCATTCGGACACGGCAGCGGGTGTTCCAGCAAGTTCGAACGAAGTGGAGCCTCTTGTCGGACCACGACTGCGCTGAGCGCAACATTCGCAATCAGAGAAGGCTTAGCGATAATTACCAGCTCCTCGGTGCTGTTCTTCTCTGGTCGCACGCCAGGGTCAATATGGTACGGAAAGCGCAGGAACCTCAGTGTCAGTGTCAGTGTCAGTGTGTGTGTGTGTGTGTGTGTGTGTTTTTGTGTGTTTGTTTGTTTGTTTGTGTTTCAACTGAGATTCAGCAAAAAAATTGTGCGAAAAGCAAAATCCAAGCTGGGGACACATTCACATTCGGCGTGACCTGCCCGCACCACAACAGGACAGCAAACAACACCGGTCGGCAACAGCTGGTGCTTCTTGTGAAGGTACTCTTGTGAGAATCATCGATGCTTTCGAGCTTCCACGCATTTGCTTTCGTAGAGACTTTCGCAAGACAGTGATGCATTCAATGTAATTCGATCTCCTGACTCGTGTTTTCAGGATTCCGGAGTCAGCAGCTTTTTTCTGTCAACTCCCACCTCAGCGTACTCCTGAGCGTCAGAATCGACAGAATCCTGCTCTCCATATCGTACGCCGAGCACACGAGTCACCTGGTCCGGTGGCAGTTCCTGGTGAGCACACAACATGGTACTGCTCTCGCATTTACACAACCATCACATGCTATCACAACCAGTCCTCCAGCAGGTCCTGAAGGGTGCTCCCAACCGGAGAATATAAGAACATGTCCCAGCCGTGATTGAGCGAGATGACCTTAACTTCAATTCATAGAAAATGCCCATGCAAATGTCTGCGGTGTTGCCAGAAATGGGATTGCTCCTGAGAGGATGACCCAGTCAGCGGTCTGCCTGGCATGCTGCCAACAGTGGTGCTGCACAAGGGTCTGCGCCAAGTGTGCCGTCGAAGTCTTATGCCCGGCTAAAGCAAAGATATCCTTCAACGGCGGTATGCTGGAGAAGAACGGATCATAAACCACACGTCCACTGGCACGGAGTTCCTGAACGAGAGGAATGCTCTGAAAAGATCCATCCAAATCATAGACGTAGATTTCATCGATCCCCAAATACTCGCTGTAGTATAAAAACCAGAACTCTATGAGGTCTGGAGCCAGCTGTTTCAGAGAGTGCGATCCCCAGACTTGTGAATTGCACAAAGCTGTTCTGACTTTCTTCCGCTGATTCTCCCGCAACGGCACCTCGAGTTGGATGGAGGGCATGTCGGGAATAGACCGCACAGATCGCGTCAGAAGGACCGATGACGGAGGCGATGTAAGTCTGCTCCCGCCCGGAGCCTCACAGTGAACGATCAAGACAGGTGCCTCCTGGGTTTGTGGAAGCTCGCTAAGGATAGGGTAGCTCACGACGTCACCACGTGTCCGCAATGTTCCAGACGGGGTCTCGAACTGGCAATCGAAATCCCATAGATTGCCTTCCGTTGGAATTCGAAAATCGGCTGCGTCGATGTTTGCCCGACCTCGTTCTGCTCTGTCCCAAATATCTCTGTGAAACGAGAGCATTTCGGCAGCATCCAGATCCCATGCTATCATCGAGATTTCTAGGCCGCAGTGCGAGGCGTCAGCTGCAATCACAGTAACCTGGGATGCAGCTGGCCACGTACGATTCAGCCAAGATTAGTTATGTTCAGGCACCTACACACAAGAGGTTCAGCTTGCATTAGTTAGCAGATTAGCAGGTGGCGGCACGCGAGGAGCCAAACCACACGTAATGGATGCAAAAGGGCAGTCTAGGCACGTTGTGGCCGCCGCTTGCGACGGTTGGGAAAGTTGACGTGCGATCGAGCTCCAGACGCCAACGGGATGGAAAGCACGGAGGGCGCGTCAGGCGCTGTGCCCTCCGGAAAACAGGAACCTCAAACCGAAACAAGTCGCATAAGCCCCAGGTCTGACCAGCCGTGACCTTGAGATCGGAAGCTCAGAACAGCACGTATCTGTCGGGAAGCCTCGGTATGGAGGCTCAGAAGTAACCGCCAGCGAGTGCACACCGTCACAACTTGCCGACTGCGGTTCGCACCCGAACAGCTCTCGCCCTGAACGCTCTTGCACCATAACTTCCCTTTCATGCAATGTCACAAGAGACGGAGAGGGAACCTGACCTGTCAGCAACACCCAAGCTGCTTTGCAGCGATCTTCTTGGCGAGTCACACCCGAGGCACGCCGGCAAAACATCGTACAACCAACCGCCCCCTGAATTCGCAGTATAGAAAACAGGTGCGAGAAAGCTTGAGCCAGGCGTCTTGATCACAGTCTTGGGGTTGGCGTCGTGAAAGACCGTGCGACAGTCACGGAGTGAGGCACAGGGCGTCGTATGCCCTGTCATCAGGTTCGGCTCGTGCCCAGCTCGACAGGCAAGAACTACAACCCTGGATGCTCTTGACCATAGATGCAGAAATCCCGAAACAAGTCTTGAAACGTCGGCTCCATGCCTGGATGAAGCTCTTCTGCAGCTTCCGACGGAATGTCCATGCCTCGGCACGGCATGCCGCTGGCAGTGCAAGCCAGCAGGGCAGCGAGAGGACCAACGCAGTAGTCTTACCGGATAAGGAGCGAGGGATGCAGACTCGCCTGAAACGAACCAAGCCACAGTCCGTGCTGCACAGGTCCGGAAAGAGAAGGCAGCTGGCCTGTCAGGAAGAAACCGTATACGCGGCTCCATGCGGCCGCCACAGGCAGTGCTAGGGCTGCTAGGGCCTGGCCTCGACCAGCACCTCGAAGGCTCCAAGGGCTACACAAAGCTGATGGGCCATGAAATGAGCTAAGTAAGGCGAGCAGCTGTGAACATCAAGTGCGCCACACCGGCATCGTGAAGCTCGTCCCATGCAGAGTCATTGTCCGGCCCACCGAACACTAGGAGATCCCACATGGCGAGTATCACCTGCATACATCACAGCTCCACCACACATCATGCATGGAGGACGCATCTCACCACATGTGCACAATACCTTTGCACCGCCCTCACCTGCGCATAGTTTACCACGAGAGTGCCGCGATCCGCCTCTTGCTTGCTATTCCAAATCATCTCCCACAGCCTTGAGGGACGGGTGAGTGTTCCACTAGCAACAGAAGCTCGAACGTGCAACCTGGCATCTGCAGCTGCGCCGCAGTGCGGTTGAGAGTGCCGCTTGTCGTAGTGGCCAGCCTGCAATGCCTTGAGGATTATGGTCAGCAGGTTTCGCGGAACTGGAATTTCAAGGCAGGCTCAGACTGTGACGGTAGAGGCAGGCCAATCCGCCAGCACCCATCTCATCATCCTGCTCTTCCAACCTTGCACCCGCCTCAGCCGACAAAAAAGAACACCCTGCCCACAACAAAATGCATCACGTGCCAAGTTGCATCGTGCTCGCACGCATTGATATGGTCCTGCATGTAGCGGCCATACCTAAGCTCAACGGCAGCATTTGAAGCTGTGCCCACTGTTTCAGTTCTGCCGATGGGCCTTGGCCTGTCAGGAAAACTGAGAAGTTCAGTCCCTAATCACACGGGATGTGACGGATAAGGCCAGCAGACGGCTGACACCGACACGTCATCTTTCCTGTGCTTGTATGGCGTTGCCTGTTGCTCTGTCTTTCCACAGGTGAACCTGAGACTCTGTCGGGGTTGCCCGGACAGGTTGTGTGTTTGAAAGGCCGTCGGTGATTTCTCGAAAGCCCTCCGGCTCACAATCGTCTGGCTCAACATGGAGACTTGCGAAACAAAATGCGTAGCCAAGGGTCGGGTCTTCTGCAAGTCGAGCTGCTGTAGCGAGATGCTCATCCCGGTTCCCTCGCTTAAACGCACGGACTCATCTGGTCGCCGAAGGAAGAGGTCCAACATCCTTGTGAATCACGCCCCGAAACTGCACGCTTCCGTTGAAAACAGGACATCATGCAGCTGTGTGCATGACCCCTGCTCAGGATGACACGCCCTATCGAGGTGTGTAGCATGGCCCCTGCTAAGGATGACACGCGCATCGAAGGTGCGATAAATCCTTGTGAATGGCTCAAGCTCACAGATCTGGGCGCAGCGAAGTGCGATAATCTCGTTGTGAGTTTGCCGAGGGTCGTTAGGGTTTGGCTTGCTGAGCCTGGGGGCCAGGTAAAATGATTTACCCCATCAAAAACGTCAGAGGCTCGCGGGGATCTCCAACACCAACACATTTCTCCATCGTGACCAACAACCCGAGCCCTGAAAATCCACATCATCATCAACAGGTAATGGGTTTGGGATACTCTACAACCTACGCACGACATTCAGCAAGCGGCAGCAGCGGAAGCATCAGCTCGGAATGACGCGATCGACACTGTGATGCTCAGATCCATGACTCAAGTTGAACTTCCTTCCGACCTAGATATTCGAGCAGCGATGCAAGCGCTTAGCAATCGGCTAAATCATCGTACTGGCGTGCTTGGTCAAGCTGTGCAGTCCCTGGATTCGGGCCATAGTCATGTCTTGGAAGGGTGCAGTGCTGTTGAAAGCCAGTTGGATTCCTTTTCGAGAGCCTTGCAGGCTCAACAGGTTGTGATTGAGGCGAAAAGTTCGACATGAAATGAGGAGTTGCTTGCTATGAAGCATCGTTTGGAGAAGAATCAACTCAAGAAGGCGAACCTGGGGTGGCAGAGCGTGAATCGGCTGCGCAGGTCCGTCTGTTGTCCGATAGGGTGGATCGAGAACTGGCCAAGATCGTGCCGAAAAGCTATTCAGAGCAATAAAAATGATGGTTTTTTGCTTCTTTAATGCATAAAACCAACAAAGTGCTGCTTTTTGCAGCATTTTGGCAGTGTTAACTGTAGCGTTAACTGTCGTGTTAACTGAGTGTCAACTGAATGTTAACTGAAAGGAAGATACAAGCATAGCTGCTTAACCAGTTGCAAGACATATCGAGCCTGCTGGCAAGAGCATGGGGAAGGCCCTCCACACGAAATTTCAACAACCTTTGGCACGCCGTCCCAAAAGCACCTCCACTCCTAGAAGCTTCTCCATATCTCGATTTGAAGATGCTGACGGTACTGTTGAAGGACAAAAGCTTGCACCAGTTTGAGTAGACCAACAATGCGAGTACCCGGCACCCCCGTTTAACATTGACGTCCAGTCCTGGGAAGGGCCGTGGGTTCCACTGACACAAATCTTGCACCAGCCACATGGCACACGATCATCAATATTAAACAGGAGGTCCGGGGTTTTGGTGATCCGATATCATGAGTCAACATGTGGGCGGTGCAACAAGAATAGCTGCTTAACCAACTGCAATACATATCGAGCCTGCTGGCCAGAGCATTGGGAAAGCCCTCTAGACGAAATTTCTACAACCTTTACAAGTACGCCGTCCCAAAAGCACCTCCACTC